GAAGCCTGACGAAAGCGCCCGCCTCAACACATTTGAGACGCCAAGATCTCAGGGGAGAAGGGTGTCGGTGTAGAGATCACCACGGAGAGCCAGCGATTTTCTACACCGCCGCCCTCCCTGAAAGTACATGCAACATTCGTCGCAGGGTGTCTCTGCCTGTATATCTGTGTAGACACAGATGTATGTATAGATGCCTGCATGCATGTATATATGCGTGCACGCATGCAGGCATGTATGTTTGTAGGCATGTATGCATGCATGTATGTAGGTATGTGTGTATGTATGCATGTATGCATGTATATATATATATATATATGAATAGATGTATGTATATATGCATGTATTCATGCATGCGTGAGTGTATATATGTATGCATGCATGTATGCATATATGTATGTATGTATGTATGTGTGTATGTACATATGATTGGTTGTATGCATGTAGGTATATCTATACGTATGTATTCATGTACGTCTGTACGTATGCATGTATGTATATATGTATGTACATACGTATGTATGTATGTATGCATGTTTGTTTGTCTGTTTGTTTGTTTGTATATATATATATGTGTGTATGTATGTATGCATGTATGTAGTTGTGCATGTATTTATGTATGTATGTATGTATGTGTGTATGTGTGTATACATGCATGCATACATGCATACACGCATACATGCACACATGTATACATGCATGCATGCATGCATGCATCTGTATATGTATGTATGTATGTATGTATATATGTATTCATGTATGTATATATATATATATATCGGTATGTATGCATGTATGCATGTAATGTAGGTCTGTGTGAACGCATTTATGTATGTGCGTATGTATGCATGCATGCATATATATGCACGCATTTATGTATGTATGTCTAGTTATTTGTATATATGCATGTATGTATATGTATATATATATATATGTATGTATGTATGTATGCATGCGTGCATGTATGCATGCATGTGTGTATGTATATGTATATGTATATGTATATGTATATGTATATGTATATGTATATGTATATGTATATGTATATGTATATGTATGCATGTATGTATGTATGTATGAACGTAGGTATGTATGCACGTATGCATGGAATGTAGGTCTGTGTGAATGCATGTAGGCATGTGTCTCTGTATGCATGCATGCATGCATATTTGCATGTATTTATGTATGCATCTATGTATGTATGTATGTATGGATAGTTGTATGTATATTTGTATGGGCACGTACATATGTATGTATGTATGCATGCATGCATGCATGCATGCATGCATGTGTATATGTATGTATGTATGTACGTATTGATAGTTGTATGCATGTATGGATGTATGTATGTATGTATGTATGTATGTATGTATGTATGCATGTGTGTATACATGCATGCATACATGCATACATGCATGCATGCACACATGCATACATGCATGCATGCATGCATGCATGCATATGTATGTATGTATGTATGTATGTATGTATGTATGTATATCGGTATGTATGCATGTATGCATGTAATGTAGGTCTGTGTGAACGCATGTATGTATGCGCGTATGTATGCATGCATGCATTTATGCACGCATTTATGTACGTATGTATGTATGTATGTATAGTTATATATACATATTTGTGTATATGTATATATGTATGTATGCATGCGTGCGTGCATGTGTGTATGTATGCATGTATGTATGTATGTATGTATGCATGTATGTATATATGTATGTATGTATGTATGTATGAATATGGTATGTATGTATGTATGCATGTAATGTAGGTCTGTGTGAATGCATGCATGTATGTGTGTATGTATGCATGCATGCATTTATATATGTATCTATGTATGTATGTATGTATGTATGGATAGTTGTATGTATATTTGTATGGATACGTATATATGTATGTATGTATGCATGCATGCATGCATGCATGTATATATTTATGTATGTATGCATGTATGCATGCATGCATGCATGCATGCATGTATGTATGTATGTATGTATGTATGTGTGTATACATGCATGCATACATGCATACATGCATACATGCACACATGCATACATGCACGCATGCATGCATGCATGCATTCGTATGTATGTATGTATGTATATCGGTACGTATGCATGTATGCATGTAATGTAGGTCTGTGTGAACGCATGTATGCATGTGCGTATGTATGCATGCATGCATATATGCACGCATTTGTGCATGTATGTATGTATGTATGTATGTATGTATGTATATATGCATGTATGCACACTTATATGTATATATATAAATGTATATGTATATATGTATGTCTGTATGCATGCGTGCGTGCATGTATATATATATATATATATATGTATGCATGTATGTATGTATGTATGAATATAGGTATGTATGCATGTATGCATGTAATGTAGGTCGGTGTGAGTGAATGTATGTATGTGTGTATGTATGCATGCATGCATGCATATTTGCATGCATTTATGTATGTATATATCTATCTATGTATGTATGTATGTATGTATGTATGTATGTATGTATAGTTGTATATATACTTGTATGTATACGTATCTATGTATGTATGCATGCATGTATGCATGCATGCATGCATGCATGTATGTATGTATGTATGTATGTATGTACGTATGTATGGATGTATGTACATTGTTATATGACTATGGATGTGTATGTATATGTTATCCCTCTCTCTATATACAACTTTCTGTGTAGCCGAAAGCGGCCTCGCCGCCCCGGGCGCGAAGCGAAGCCCAGCCGCCGCCACCGCGCCAGTCGAGGGGGCCTGGCCGGGCCGCGGCTCCGCCGCCCCCGGGCTCCCGGCGCGCGAGGCCGCTGCCGCCCGGCTGCGGGGCAGCGCGCACGGGCGCCTGGGGTCCCCGCGGGGGGCAGGAGGACGACGACGACGCCGACGACGACGCCGACGACGACGACGACGACGACGGCGGCGGCGGCGGCGGCGACGACGGCGACGGCGACGGCGGCGGCGGCGGCGATGACGGCGACGGCGGCGGCGTTGACGACGACGACGGCGGCGACGACGACGACGACGACGGCGACGGCGGCGCCGACGGCGACGACGGCGGCGGCGCTGACGACGACGACGACGAGGGCGACGGCGGCGACGACGACGACGACGACGACGGCGGCGGCGGCGGCGACGACGACGACGGCGGCGACGACGGCGGCGGCGGCGGTGGCGGCGGCAGAATTCAAACCCCACCCTCGCCGATCCACCGTTCATGCCCGGATAGCCCTCGGAGCGGCGGCGAGTCGGCGAAATCCGCATAGCGTAACAGCTAGGTAGGGACACTAACTAGCGAATTGGCCGGCGTGCAAGGAAGGAGGGGGGAGGCCGAGAGGAAGGAGGGACGTTCAGACGCCGAAGAATTCGATGATGCGCAGCCAGCGGGCGGCAGCAGCCAGGCGCGCAGGGCCAGAGCGCGGTAGGCGGCCGCAATATTTTGAAACACTCAGGACGGAGGTTTTTCAAATTTTTCGGCCTCCGGGTGCCCTTCCGGGCCCCAGGACTGTCAACAAGAATGGCTCGGGATTAAGAACCTGCCCTGGGGAACAGGTCGGGTTTTTGTGGGACCGCGTATTCAAACAATCAGGACATCGTATGCTTGGGAGTTTTTTGTTGTTGTTTTGTGTGTATATATATATGTGCACCGTTTTTCGGCCTCCGAGGGGCCCACCACGGGCATGAGGGCCGTCAAAAACCGTATTTTTCTTCTGGCTCCTGGGCGCGGGCTTGACGGCGTGGCGCTGCGCCCGTCCGCGACGACCAATAACTGCGTGTGTGTGTGTGTGTGTGTGTGTGTTTCGCGCGCTCGCGCCCGCTGGTTCGGTGTGACTTTCTCCGCTTCGACGCTGCACCCGAGGCCGTGACCGCCAGAAAGTGTGTGTGTGTGTGTGTGTAAGAGAGAGAGAGAGAGAGAGAGAGTGTGTGTGTGTGTGTGTGTGTGTCGCGCCTCTTCCTGCACGCACATGGCGAGATCAACTCGTCTTTGCCGCTCTCTACGCAAATTACCTACCATCCGCAACGCTGGGTGCAATCGACACTAACGTGGCCGATTACTGCTCATCGCTACTGCAGTGTCACATCGCTTTCGGAGGAAGCGTGTTCTTCCCTACCTAGGCTCTGCCCAGAAGGGTTCTTACCCTGTATGCTTAAAGGGCCGGGCAGTCCTCCCCGCCCCGGGCGGTTCCCCCAGGATCCGCCCCGCGGTTCTCCCAGTGACGTTCCCTTAGCTTAGCGTTGCTTATTTCATCTTAGCTTAGCTTATTTAACCTTAGCTTAGCTTAGCTTCATCTTAGCTTAGGTTTATCTTAGCTTAGCTTACCTTCATCTTAGCTTCGCCGAGCTCTAGCATAGCAGAGCACAGCATAGCATGGCAGAGCGTAGCACAGCACAGCGCAGCACAGCATTTCATAGCAAAGCCCAGCATAGCACAGCATAGCGCAGCATAGCATAGCATAGCATAGCATAGCATAGCGCAGCACATCACAGCACAGCTTAGCACCGCGCAGCATAGCATAGCATAGCATAGCATAGCATAGCATAGCATAGCATAGCATAGCATAGCATAGCATAGCATAGCATAGCACCACAGCGCAGCGCAGCTTAGCATATCATAGCATAGCACAGCACAACATACCTTACCATAGCATAGCATATCAAACCATAGCATAGCATAGCATAGCGCAGCGTAGCGTGGCATAGCATAACATAGCATAGCTCAGCATAGCATGGTTCAGCATGGCATAGCATAGCATAGCAACTAATGCTGCTTTCCTAGGGGCTCCAACTTCTAGGTAGGGTCGCACTGGGGTAGTGTGTGTGTGTGTGTGTGCGTGTGCCCGTTCAGGTGTTGGAGCAGCTTTGCGCGCATCCCGCCTTTGCGCGTTATGTTGCTCGATGACTGCCGTCGTCAGCACGTCGGAGGAAGAATACTCTGTGTGTGTGTGTGTGTGTGTGTGTGAGTGTCCGCCTTGTGTGTGTGTGTGTGTGTGTGTGGGTGCGCGTGTTTTTCTGTGAATTTGTAGCGCTGTCTCAAGCCTTGTGGCTCCAGGCCCGTTGGTGCATCTCCTCTCCCGCACCCGTGCCAGGCCACGACTTCGCGCTGTCCCCCTCCCTTGGCGCCCTGCATGGTAGCCGCTGGCGTCTTTTTTTTCGTGGAGGATGACGCGCGCTCCGAGACATCGGACGAGGAGGAGAAGGAGGGGGACGAGGAGGATGAGGATGAGGATGAGGAGGAGGAGTGGGGCCGCGACAGCGAGGAGGGCGGCGAGAAGGGCCACCGTCCCCTTGTCTCGCCGCGGCTGGCGGAGAAGCTCCATCAGGTGGAGGCAGAGGACCTGTCGAACGTTCTCCGCAGGCTGGACAGCATCCGGCAGCTGGCGGGTGACGCGCAGCTGATCCGCCACCGGGAGGCCAGGGAGGATCGTGGGCGAAACGCATTCGTATCCGCGGCCTCGCGGGCTGGGCCCCTGGGTCGCGACCCCGCGGATACGGTGTGCTTTTTCGCGAATGCCCCTCGCGGGACGCATCCGTGCGACCGCGAATCCGCAGGGTCGCGCCCCAGAATCCATACCGTGGGCGCGGTTACGGATACTCAGCCGAGGCACTGAGGCAAGGACCACTCTGGGTTCAGGAGGGGCTTTGGCTGTCGGGCCCGTCCTCAGATCGGGGTCGGGGAACGTAGTCGTGGCCGAGGCTCGCCGTGGCCAGAAACGCCCCTTCGCTCCCGAGTCAGCGTTCCTCATGGCAGCACGACGACTGTATGTTCGCCGCTCGCGAGTCGTCCAGAACACAGGCGACGCCACCCTGCCCACGGCCCTCCATGTTGCGCTGCGGCCCGTCGGGGGCCGCAGCGCATTCCACGCAAGAGCCCAGGCGGGATTTCACGGTATACGCTGAGGCCCGTGGGGTCGTGGCCGAGGCGCGCCGTGGTCAGAACAGCCCCTTCGTTCCTTACTGAGCGTTCCTCGTGGCATCACGGCGGGCGCACGTCCGCCGCTCGTGGGAGGAGACGGCGCGGCAGATGGCCGTGGACCAGCTGTACTCCCTGCTGCTGGAGGAGGCCGGGTTCCAGGCGCAGGCGGTGATGCAGCGCGGGCTGCTGGCCGTGCTCGAGGGCATCAAGCAGAAGAGCGCCGAGGTCTTCTTCTTCAGCCCGAGGAGAACAAAAGCGGCACGAGCGCACAAACTTTGGGAGCTCCGCGATGATGTCTCCGCGATCCTCGATTCTTGATCCTCGATCGTCCTCCTCCTCGATCCTCCTCATCCTCCTCCTCCTCCTCCTCCTCCTCCTCCTCCTCCTCCTCCTCCCCCTCCTCCTCCTCCTCCTCCCTCCTCTCCTCCTCCTCCTCCTCCTCGATCCTCCTCCTCGATCCTCCTCCTCCTCGATCCTCCTCCTTCTCGGCTTCGATCCTCAATCCCTCTCCTCCTCTCGAAGGAGAGGGCTGCACGACCATACACTTTCGGAGCCCGGCGCGGGTTTCTTGGATCTGCGCTGGGCCCCCCTGGTGGCGCCTCTGGTGCCGCCTTTGGCGCGCTCCTCGCGCCAGGGAGAGGGGGGGGGGGGTCCAGCGCCGATCCAAGACGTCAGCGCGGGCCTCCGAAAGTCCGTGCTCATGCATCCTGCCACCATTCTACAGGAGGCACCGCAGCCTCCCTCGAGTAGGAAGAGGGAGGGAGGAGCCTCCACCTTCTCCTCCTCCTCCTCCTCCTCCTTCCTCCTCCTTCCTCCTCCTCCTTCCTCCTTCCTTCTCCTTCCTCCTTCCTTCCTCCTCCTTCCTTCCTTCCTCCTCCACCCCCTCCCCCTCCCCTCCTCCCCCCCCCCCCCTCCCCCTCCCCCTCCCCCTCCCCCTCCTCCCCCTCCTCCCCTCCCTCCTCCCTCCTCCTCCTCCTCCTCCTCCTCCTCCTCCTCCTCCTCCTCCTCCTCCTCGCGGGGATCCTCAGAGCCTGCCGAGAGTTCATGCCCGTGCCGTTCTTTGGTTCCTCCGCCAGCGCCGAGGAGGCCCGCCGCGGCTGCGACGGCGGGCCGTCCCTGCAGCTTCGCGAGGGGAGCATGCCGCGCAGGTTTGCCGAGCGGCTGCAGGCCACCCGGGAGCCTTGCTTCTGTGCTTGTTTATGTACGGTCGGGCCGAGGTATAAGATCGAGATCGATTCGGGAAGGGTATCTTTCATTGTTCTTCGTGACTGTTGGGTGTTCTGGTGCATCCTGGGGATGGGGACCGAAGAGATGTCCTGTGTGTTTTGGCCGGCGCAGGGTCTCCTGTTCCTGGAGGAGGTTCTTCTGTCCTGGGTCCGACTGTCCTTGCTCCTGTGGCTGTTTGTGTATTCCTGTGGTTGTCTATCATGCCTGTGGTTGCTCATGTGCGTCTTCCTCTTCCGCTGCCATCGTCGCTGTCGCCGTCACCCGGGTCGGTGGCCCTGATGAAGAGGCGGCGGCGGCAGAGGCAGTGTCGAAACGCGCCCAGAGTCCAGCAAGGCTTGAGGGTGCGGACCTGACTTGTCTGGCTGATGCTCTGGGGGGGCCTGTGAACTGGGGAGGCTGCAGCACCGCTCAACGATCTGCTGTTTCACCGAACCTGCAGGGTGGGCCCTTTCCCGAATCCGTGCTTCGGTGCGGTTCGTCTGCGCGCCTCGTCTTCGTCGTCGTCGTTGTCGGCGTCGTCGTGGTCGTGGTACGTGTTGCTCTGCTGTGGACTTGCTTCCCCTTTGCAGTGGCCACCACCACCACCACCACAACCACCACCACCACCACAACCACCACCAACACCATCACCACCACCACCACCACCACCACCACCATCACCACCACCACCACCACCACCATCACCACCACCACTCTTGCCTTCGTCCACACATCGCTGGCCAGTGCAGCCACGCCCGCCGAACGCGCGCGTGCATTGCATTGCGTAGCCCTTCTTGCAACGCTCAATTTGTGCATTCACGTTGCCGCTGCACGCAGAAGGTTACCCCGGAGCTGCTGGAGCGCATGCTGGCCGAGCTGCAGACCTCACAGATTCGGGACCTGGTCAGCAAGGCAGGGGCAATGTCGTTCGACAGCAGATCATGGGAACCATGCGTGTCCTCGTGGTTCCGTCTTTCGAGTGCGTTGGCGTCGATTAACGTCTGGTGAACCGATGCGGAGGCGCTGATTCAGCGTCGAGTAGCGTCGATTTAACGTCGATCAGCATCTGACGATTAGCGTCGATTAGCGTCGATTCGCGAGCGCCAGCAAGATGGCATTGGAGGCTCCCATGAACTGTCACCGAGCATTTCGATCCGATCGATCCGATTCGATTCGAGTGTTCGGGCGGTTCGGTGCGGCCCGATGCTCCCATGGCGTCGTTGTGCATCTCGGCGCTGCCGATCCGATTCGATTCCGACTCCGTGCCGATGCGGCTCGAGTCGATGCGCACTCCGATCCGACCCGTTTTGCCGATTCGATGCTCACCGATCCTGGCAAGGTGGGCGAATACCTGGCCTTCAAGCAGACCTCGTACCAGGTGAAGGCCGTGGAGGAGAAGGACGGCGCCCTGGTCAAGAACGCCACGGGCCTCGCCGTGTTCAAGAACTGGACCCTGGTCACGGACGCTCTCAGCCACTGCCTGTGGAAGGTGCTGACGAACTCGTTCAACGACGAGGGCAATCACAAGGTGGAGTTGTTCGCAGGGCTCGTGGACAGCCCTGGCCTGCAGGACGGCCCCCTGCTGCAGGCCAGGTTCCGGAGCCCCATGGGCGTCGTGGTCTGCGAGGATATCGGCGCCGCCTTCGTGGCGGACACCGACAACAACGCCGTGCGACGCATCGACCTGCTGGAGGAGGTGGTCTCCACGCTGGACCTCTCGCCCGCGCCGTTCGTGAGGACGCTGCTGCGGGCGGAGCTGACCCGGCCCAAGGGGCTGTGCGCCATCCGTGGCTCTCCCACCGTGCTCGCCTCGATGGACTACCGCCAGAAGCGCGTGTGCGACGAGGTGCACTCGGTGGCAACTCATGGGAGCCTGGTGTACCCTCTTAATTCGGTCCATGGCGTCGATTCGCGTCGATTGGCGTCTGGGAGTCGGCGAGAAAGCGCCGATTTAGCGTCGTTGAGCGTCGACTAGCGTCGATCAGCGTCGGGTCGCAAGAGCCGACAAGATGGTATGGGAGGCTCCCACGAGTTGCCACCGAAGAGGTGCAGAAGCAGATTGATGCGCTTACGATGCAGCAGAACGCAGGCAGCCTCAGCGGCGGCGAGGAGAGCTCCAGCTTCGGCTGCTCCACGGCGTCGAGCAGCTCGAGCTCCAGCAGCAGCGGCAGCAGCTGGGGAGTGTCCCGGAGCTCCGGCAGCCCAGCGAAGGGCGCGACGGTGCCGAAGAGCCTGGCGGCCCTCCGGGAGGAGCAGATGACGCTGGAGCAGTCCCTCTCGGTGGTCCAGATCAAGAGGTACGCTTGTGGAGGACGATCAATGGGATGTTTAAAACATCTCAAAAACATGTTTTCAAAACACATGTAGAACACATGCTCAAACCATGTTTAGAACAGGTTTCCGACATCCTAAACACATGTTAAATTCAATGAGCGGACTGGTAGGGTGTCCATTGTCGCGGCGTCCACAAAGGTACGCGGTCCTGCAGGACATGGAGGACCCGGCCGTCAGCCACGCCAGCAAGCCTCCGACGCCGCCCGCGGAGGGCGGCCGCGCGCGCAGCGACGTCTTCCCGCGGGGCGCCTCGTCCCGGCGGCTCAGCACGTCCTCCTCGCTGGGCTCGCCGCGTGCGGAGGAGGCGCCGGAGCAGGTCGCGCTGCGCCTGGCCATCACGGCGGACCACTGCGTGTGGCTGGTGGACCCCGAGACGGGCCAGGCCGCGCCGCCCGATTCGGCCCGTTTTTCGTTGCGATGCGAGTCCGACTCGCCC